TTTATTTTAAGGTCCATATTGCTTCATGGGCAGGGGTCCAAATTGGTGCCATTAAACCAGACAGGCGCTGAAGGCCTCCCCAGCTCCCCACGCAGCTGCAGAGCACTGCCGTCCCACATCTGCGGGGAGAGATGCTGATTTGTGCTTTGTGTTTTGGTCCTACTAAAAAATAATCATCCCTGTCACATGAATTGCCCACAGAGCTGAGGCTCTGGAAACTTCCTGTGGGAGACCAAGCCTGACAACTGTCCCATTGTCATGCGTTCGTGCCCTGCTGTGCTCTGCTGGGATCTCAGGTTGGGGGGAAGGATGATGCAGAGAGCTGAGTGGGGCCAACCCTCAAAAGATACTTTCAAAAATGACAGTGAAGCTTGAAAACACATCGGTGAAATTTAGGACAGAGGAAGAGATGTTTTTCTTTTAGGGTATAATCTTTACTGTAGGGTTTCCTCCCCTTTTGTGGTGGCAGACGTCATTGGTGTCTCGCCTTTCAATGCTGGAACAGGACAGTGGAGCTCCTGATGCCTGGGGCAAAGTTTCTGAGATGTCAGGGGCTCTGCCTTAGATCCCAGGAAAATGAAAGCATGTTTGTCTGTTGGTCCAGAGCCATTCGATTCTGTGACTTGTCACCACTGGACTTCCTAGACCTTTGCTGGGCCACATGCTGGGTGGGTCTAATTCCTTGAAACCTGTCTGTTTCTACTGGCTTGGAACCATCCCTGCCCTAGGACTGCTTCCTACTCATTCATTGAAAATGTATTTATTGAGTGCCTGCTATGTGTTGGACGTGTGCTGAGTGCTGGAGATACAGCCTCAGATGACACCAGGTCCTGGGCTGATGTTCACCACTGGTTGTGGATGGAGACAGAAAACAGAAACAAATGCATCTGTGGTGTCATTTCCAAGAGCCGTAATTGTTATAGAGAAAGTAAACCCGGGTGACAGTGTGGAGAATGACATTGAAGTAGCAGGTGCACTGACACTAGCCAAGAGAGGTGGGGGGACCCTGAGCCTGGGAGTCTGAGGGGCAGAGGCAGTGCTGTGTTGGGCAGAAGAATGAGTGGAGATGAGATGACTGTGGCAGGCAGGCACCAGGGCACATGGGGCTACGAGGCTCCCTTGTGGATTTTCTTCTAACTGCATTAAAGGACAACTGCAGGGTTTCAAATGGGCAGGCTATGTGCCCAGAGGTGCACTTCTGCACGCTCTCCTGCAGCCCACCTATTGAGGGCGCCATGGCAGTGAGCAACTGCTATTAGAAAAATACTCTCAAGCCGTGCTTTCCTCTCAACTCTACAGCAGTCGGCACAGAAGGCCGTGTCTGTGACCAAATGTGGGGTTTTGCCCTTGCACACCAAGCAGACACCACCTGGGCATCCTCTAATTTTTTTTTTTTTTTTTTGAGACAGAGCCACAAGCTGTCGCCCCAGGTAGAGTGCTGTGAAGTCACAGCTCACAGCAACCTCCAACTCCTGGGCTTAAGCAATTCTCTTGCCTCAGCCTCCCAAGTAGCTGGGACTACAGGCGCCCTCTACACACTCGGCTAATTTTTGGTTGTGGTTGTCATTGTTGTTTGGCAGGTTGGGGCTGGATTCGAACCCACCAGCTCTGGTGTATGTGGCGGGCACCTTAGCCACTTGAGCTACAGGGCCCGAGCCAGCATTCTCTAATTGAAACCTGATGGTTTCTCTGCAGAGGTTGAGGACTAAGTTCCCACGACTGACCCATCCTTCTTACCAGTCACAAGTCTGGGCCTCCAGAACTTCTGACTGGCTGGCCTCAAATTGGAGTTTCCAATTGGGTTTGATTAATTTTCTGGAGAGGTTTCCAAAATTTAGGGAAATACTAATTATATTTACAGGTTTATTACAAAGGATGCAGGTAAACAGACAGATGGAGAGACGTGAAGGGTAAGGTCTGGAAGGGTCCCAAGCTTGGGAACCTCTGTCCCCATGGAGATGGAGTATGCCATATTCCCGGCACGTGGATAAGTTCCTGTTCCCTCTCCTGCCTACCTCCACATGTTTTTTGGAAGCTCCCCAAACCTTATCCTTTGGTCCTTCTGTGGAGACTTACTGTTTGGCCATGACAGAGCCAGTGAAATGCTGAAATGTGATTGGATGAGAAGCGCACGATGTAAACCCAGCACAGCCTCTGTCAGTCTCCTGGAGCTCTGGGCCATGTTCCTTCTTCCAGGGCATGGGCAGGACCCTCTCTGGAATGAGGATCTTTAGACCCACAATCAGATTAGAGTCCTGCCTTGAGCAGGTAGAAAGGAAGACAGAAGCAGACCAAAGAGAGAGATTCTATTTTCTAAGGCTGCTCCTGGGGATGGAAGGATAAAAAAAAAAAAAAAAAAAGGACTACAGGAGTGATGAGCCCAGAACTGTGGATGAAAATCAAAATATATGTTCTAATACTGTAGCAACTCAGTGCAGCTGTGGGTGGCAGGACCTCTAATAAGTGAACTCCTCTTGCCCTAAAATGATATGCTGGGGGATGACCCAGATCAGTTTCCACAGAGGGCTACATTTCAATGAGCTCTTCAGAGAGTGGCTTTTTGTGGCTTGCCAACTTTAAAACTGAATTTAATGTTTCTATAACTCCCTCCCCAGCTCATAAATCAGCCTGTGTCTGTTGCACTCTTCTCAGGTAAGGGAGAACCTTGTTCAGCCTTGTCGGACACCACATTGCTTCAGGCCAGAGTCTTGGGAGAGCCACCTCTTGCCGTCTCTCTTGTCTTTCTTCCCAAGCCCTGCTGGATTATATTTCCTGCGTGGAGCATTCTTTTTGAAATTCCACGTGTATTTCAGCCACATATTTGAAGCTTGGATATTGGTACCTTTCTCTGACTCCATTTTTATCCAGAAGCTTAGGGAACTTGCCCATGGCCTGGCCAGCAAAAGGGATATTAAACCATTTGCTACATCAGAAATAGTGTACCTGGGAAGCCAGGGATAAAACAAAATCCACTTTTAAGAAATGACTCAGTAGAGACTCTCCCAGCCTTTCTTGCCTTGCAAAGTCTTTCCAGTTGATAGTAATGAAATTATTTTCTCATTTGGGGGTATAACAGTCCTTTGTTCTGAAGTTGAATTGGTGAACATCTGCTGGGGACAACCTTAATTGACTGAATCTCTCTTGGTCCTGAAGGGTGGCAGGCAGTCGTGATGGGTATTAACAATAGTGCAAGCCTGCAGCCCCCAACTCCCCAGACAGGTACTGATCCACAGCCTGTTAGGAGCTGGGCCATAGACCTTAGCCAACCCTCCTTCCACCACTTAACCCCTTGCCCCCCAATCCCTCACCCCTCTATTCCCCCCAATGGAAAAATTATCTTCCACGAAACTTAGGAACCAGGCCACACAGCAAGTGAGGGCAGGTGATCCAGCTAAGAGTTTCACCTGTATTTATAGCCCTCCCCATCACTGACATCACTGCCTAAGCTCCATCTCCACTGCCCACTGTCTGTAGGAAAAATTGTCTCCCATAAAACCTGATTTCAAAAAAGTTGGTGACCAGTGGTGAAAGCAACATAGACAGTAAAGTTTCATCAGTTACAGAGTAAAAGAATCTTTAAGGTTCATTTACTTGTTGTAAGCCATTTGTCAAATATAATTAGCCTGGGACGAAATTTCAGGAAGATAGAATAAGAGCAATTATGATCCACATTTGGATGTGAGAGCTGGATTATGAATGGGCTAACTCAACCCCCTCATTTTTTATATTTTTTGAAACAGAATCTCATTCTGTTGCCCTTGGTAGAGTGCTGTGTTATCACAGCTCTCAGCAACCTCAAACTCTTGGGCTCAAGCTATCCTCTTGCCTCAGCCTCCCAAGTAGCTGGGACTACAGGCGCCCACCACAATGCCTGGCTATTTTTTTGTTACACTTGTTAGGTGGCCCGGGCCAGGTTCGAACCTACCACCCTCAATGTATGTGGCTGGCACCCTACTCACTGAGCTACAGGTGCTAAGCCGCAACCCCCTCATTTTATAGAAAAAAAAAAATAGAGGCTCAAAGAAGGGAAGGGCTCTGCCTGTGGTAGAAAAGCCAACAAGTGGTCAAGTTGGGACAAGACTCTGGGCCTCCTCCCCCATCACTTGCTGTTTCTAATTAGTGGGGAGCGGAGCCAAATGTCTCAAACAGAAAACAGAGAGATCTGAGGGAATGGGGGCCTGCTGAGGCATCCCCCTGCCCTAGGGGAGGGGACGTCGTTTTGTCTAAGCACCTGTGTTAGCTACAGGGATGAATTGTGAAAAATAACTATTACAATCTCAAAACCAGAGTTACCTCAGTGAAAAAATATGTATATAAATAAGAATATGGAAGGGCTGGCCAAGTGCTGTTTGGATGGCCTCTCAGCAGCCCTGCGAGCTGGTTTTGCTGCAGGTGCTTGGGGAGCAGTTTGGTTTTGAAATTGAGTCAGGATGAATGGACAGCCTTTCTTCAGAACCTCGACTTTTAGTGCCCTTTCCTCAGCAAGTGAGAGTCATCAGAGCAGGAGAGCTGAGAATATACTAAAAGTCTCTCCCTTTTTTATTTCCTGAGGCAGCCGTGTGTGCGCGCCATGCCAGGGCAGCTGAATTCCGAGTTGTTCTCTGTCCCCTTTCTCAACTTCCTGAGCTCTTTGCTGGCCCCCTGCCTGGGCTTGTGTCAGGAGCCCAGGCCTCCTGTTCTCCCTGGCACTGATGTGGGGCCAGACACGTAGGTAGCTTTTCCATGGCCCAGCTCAGAAACTTGCTCTCCTGGTTTGTTTTTGATTGTGTGTGTGGGTTTTCATGCCTACACCCTAGAAACATTCCAGCTGGAGGTGCCAAAAATCACAAGGCCCCGTTTAGGGACTGCTGTGTTTAGTGTATTCCCGACTGTGTGTGAGGACTCAAATCCAGCCCTCTGCATGTCCCAAGTGTCACCCTGGCTGTTCAGCAGTTGGGGGGAATGAGCTCCGTGCTCTTTGTTCACGTGAGTTTTGAGCACCACTCTATCCTTTCTTGTAGGTCATAAAGAAAGAAACTGGATTTTGGAGAGATTTTGGATTTGGGATGACATGTCAATATCGGTCGGACTTCATCAACATAGGTAAGACAAATATGTGTTGCTGCTGCCACCTAGAGGCCACTGGGCTGTGCAGTCCTTGAATAAACCGAGCAGATTTCCTAGGAGTCCTGAGGGGTAAAGGTGGTGGTGCCTGCCGGTTCCTTTTTTTTTTTTTTAATTAAGTCATAGCTGTGTACATTAATGCAATCATGGGGTACAATGTGCTGGTTCTATATACAATCTGAAATGCTTTTATCAAACTGGTCAACATAGCCTTCATGGCATTTTCTTAGTTATTATGTTAAGACATTTATATTCTACACCTAGTAAATTTCACATGTACCCCTGTAAGATGCACCATAGGTGTGGTCCCACCAATTACTCTTCCTCCACCCATCCTCCCCCCACCCCTCCCCTCCCTCTCTCCTTTCTCCTTCTTGGGCTATACTTGGGTTATAGCTTTCATAAGAAAGCTGTAAATTGGTTTCATAGTAAGACTGAGTACATTAAAATTGCTATTCCTCAGGTCACGGCCTCAGGGTCGGACCAATGGAGGGCTTGGGAGGGCACAGTGCTTTAGCCCCTATCATCTTCACCAGCACCTCTCATTCACCCCAAATATAAGACGTGTAATCAAGGCTAAAAGGCAGCTAGTGGCATGAAGGCCGCTTTGTAGCAAGTTCTCCAGGGCCCCCTTCCAGCCAGGGTCTGGCCCCTGAGCACTCACACAGGACGCACTGAGCCTCCCAGGAAAGGTAAAAGGGAAACGTGGGGAATTGGGGAGAAACACGCCAAAATCCAGATGTCACTTCAAGACCTAAGTATACAGTTGCTGTCAGTATTTACACACACTCATACACACACATCCACACACACACTTCCATGCTCATGCACACACCTGCAGGTATCCAGCGCTCACAGAGCAAAGGCCCTTAGGTTCCAAATGGAGACCAAGACTTTCAAAGGCAAACGGACCTTCGCAGACCTCCCAGTAGCACCTGAGGGGCCCAGTCAGGATGGCCACTGGGTCTCCTGCCCTCTTGGATATGACACACCCCATCCCCATCACAGTACTTCCTCATGTGCCTCTGAAGGGAGCGGCATTGTGGATGATGCATGAAGAGGGTATACACGAACAGACCAGAACCCTGGATCTGGGCTCCGGGTGGGGCACAGGCAGCCCTGTCCTCAGAGCAGTGTAGAGCTGACCAGCCCCAGCCTCCAGGAGTGGCTGCCTTGCTGTGTACCAGACTGCTCCCACTCTGGCCCAAGGCCCAAATTTGCAGAAGGGAAGATCAGCCTCAGGTTTGTTTGTTCAGAAAAGACCTGGACTATGGGGACTACAGAACCAAGATAGTAGTTCTCAATCTTCCTAATGCCACGGCCCTTTAATACAGTTCCTGTGGATTGTGACCCACAGGTTGAGAACCACTGCTCTAAGACATCAACGGGTTAAAAAGAAAAAGACAAAAAAGAAACAACTTGAAGTCAGGTCCCCTTAGAAGCATCCAAGCACCCAGGGTACCGGTCTCAGAGTGGTGTGTGCCTGGCAGATGCCCAGCAACTACCTACACATGTTCTTTGCCTTCTCTTTGCACATTTGATTATGTGCAAATCAAATTTCCAAAAGTAACATTTCAAAAAAATTTCTAATGATTTGCCATTTCAAGAACCTCTGTTTCCTTGCCCTTTGTACAGGGAAAGATTATTTTGTGGTGATGACTATATTTTTCCCATTTGAAATCATAACATTCTGGATTCTCCTAAATCTGGATGTAGCTGTAAGTGAAAAAAGTGGGCCCAGCAGGATGGGAAGGGGGCTTTTCCTCAGTCAGCCACCGCCAAGACCTCAGAACCTTTGGGTCACGTTTCATCTCCATTCTTTGTATGTAACTTGGGAGTTTTCTGCAAGTGTCTTGCTTGTGAACTTTATATTTAATAAATTATAATGGTGATGATAAATCAATTACAGTTAACCAAGCTCTGCCCCCCCACTTACTGGGTTATGTACGTTATCTACTTAATTTAAGCAGAAAATACTAAAATTTAAAAGGATATAAGTGGCAGATTCTAAGAGAACTAAGACACAAATTCTGGACTACTGATTCATGATTATATACGTTTGTATAATTCTTTGCCTGCCCACCATGGGAGGGGTCACAGTCACTCACGCATGCAGCCCAGGGTCTGCATGCTCCCAAAGGCCATAAGCAGCCTTGTTCCTTGTAAAAGTTAAATAAATTTCCTAGGTAAGAAAGAAAAAGGGCAGAAAGAAGCCAGTGCTTCTTTGGTTCCATTTGGGACCCAGTGAGCTTTAGGTTAAGACAGGATGTAGGGCATCTCAGTTCACAAAGGGGAGACTTTAGGAGGCCATGCCTGGCTTTGTGAAAGAGTTTATAATAAAGTGATGACATCCTCTTCACTCTACCACACTGCAAGGCCCTGTTTTCTGCAATGGCAGATGAAGACCACTCCCGTAAGAACCATTCCAAATAAGAATCTGCATTGTGTGGTTTCAAGTTGAAAAGTTTGGATACTGTTGAAGCTCTAATTTGGAGGCTGGAGTTAGTCCTTAGCATTGCTGGTGGCTCTTTAAAAAGCAGGTGAAGGCATGGGATTTTGTCTGAGGTATTGTTATCTCCACAAGTTGGTGCTGCCCGCCATGAAGGTCATCTCTGTTCGGGATTTCTGGGACAGACACTCTGGTAACTAGGAGGGGGCAGAGAAGCACATCTCCCCTAAATGTCTCCTTGTGTGGCGTGGGGGAGGCAAACCCAGAACAGGAGCTACCTGGGCAGTGGATTCAACACTGTGCTCTGTCCTGACAGGTGGGTTTGATCTGGACATCAAAGGCTGGGGCGGAGAGGACGTCCACCTTTACCGCAAGTATCTCCACAGCAACCTCATAGTGGTGCGGACGCCGGTGCGGGGCCTCTTCCACCTCTGGCACGAGAAGCGCTGTATGGACGAGCTGACCCCTGAGCAGTACAAGATGTGCATGCAGTCCAAGGCCATGAACGAGGCATCCCACGGACAGCTGGGGATGCTGGTCTTCAGGCACGAGATAGAGGCCCACCTTCGCAAACAGAAACAGAAGAGTAGCAAAAAGACATGAACTCCCAGGGATGGAGTTGGCGAGATATTCATCCCTCTTCTTTCCTTTTGCAATTACTGAAGGAGTGGCTGCAACAAGGAAAAAGACTTCCAAGAAGGGCGAAAAAAGAATTTGACTGTAAAAGAGACAAAAGAGTCTCCGATTTCTCTCTTGTTGGCTTTATGCAACAGAAATCAAATCTCCACTTTGCCTGCAAAAGCAGCCCAGTTGCGCCCCGTGAAGGGTCTGACAAAGGCAGAATGCTTGTGAGATTATAAACGGAAAGATGTGAAGGCGTTGATTGTGTTTACAACAAAACGAGACATACTGTTTTCTATGCACATTGAAACATTCATGACTTAAGACCCATTTTGCAAAAAGTTCATCGGAGTGAAAGGCAAGCAGACAGCTCCACAATGAATGGTCATCTCAGTAGGGCTCTGGTTTCTTGAAATGTTAAGACACCAGAAAGCAAAAAAGGAGATACATTTGTCACCATCCTTTTGTGTATGATAAGCAAAATTAAATGGACAAAAAAAACCCCAATAAATACTGGGTCATTTTTCTCCCAAGATCAATGAAAAATAATCTGCTTATCTTTTTGGTTGTTTTAACCATCTACAGTTTATTTAATTTAAAGGTGCACTTTTTTTTTTTGCTTGTGAGTTATATTCTGCTTATTTAATTACCAATCGCCAAGCCTGACAAGAGAGCACAAGTCAGCCTACATTTTTATATTTTTTAAGGAGATACTTTTTAGACCCATTATGATTATTACAAGTCCAAGGACATGACCAGTGCTGACCCTGCCAGGCACTGAATGTCAGAAGGCAAAGTTGGGAACTGCAAATAGACAGTGCAGATACTTTATCTGAAAACTATTGCTGAAGAGAGTGGCTGAACACTGGAGGAAAAGAAAAAGACCCTTTTGATTTTAACAGAAAAGGAAACTCATTTTCGATTGGTGATATCATGACATATTCAAAAGTCAGAAAATACATTTTCTGGGGACCACTTTCTTGCCTGTTCAAATAAACCAAAGTGTACTGTGTGAACCAGACAATCTCTTTTCAAAGCAGGGTGCTCTTCCTGGCTTCTGGCCTCTCACAGAAGAAATGCAGAAAGATTTTATGAAACATCAATTCCTCTGCCAGTGTCTAGTGGGATGGAAGTTTTTGCTATATATTCATCCACCCTAGGCTAGGTGGAAGTAACTTAATTATTTTTTAAATTAAGCCGTTCTACTCAATCACCAAGATGCTTCTGATAATTGCATTTTATTACAAATGATTTTTTAAAAATAAATATAGTTCACATTGAGCGGTTTCTACATTCATGTGAAAATTATTTATTTATTAGCCAGCACCAGATGCATGAGCTAATTCCCTCTCGGATTCCTTGCTTTCTGTTTGCCCACAGAAAATCCATTGTTTAAAAGCTTCGAGAACATTCAAGCTGTTGGTGTATTAAAAAATGTATTGTATTGATTTGTACCAGTCGTTCATAAAACTTGATTAAAACGCAGGCCATGAATGGAACGTGGCATTATGCAGTTAATAAAATGATTTGTGGATATGATTTCTTCTTGGAGTAAGAATGCCATGTTCTTAGTTTTTGGAAAACAGTATTTAGTGCATACACCAGGGTTTCTTAGGCTTAGCACTGCTGACATTTTGGGCTAGATGACATTGCTTATGGGAAGTTGTCCTGTGTGCTGTAGGATAAGCCCAGGAAGCATTGAGTCTTGGGCTTTGTCTAAGGCCCCTTCCAGCTCTGAATATTCTCCCTGTTTCTTTGTTTCTATTGTGTTCCTACAAATTGCCCAGTAACCATATCAAGTCATTCTACTGAGCTGAGGTCTCCTCCTACCAGTAGCATTTTACTAGGAGACAATTATCAGTACTTCACAAAACTCACTTGGTGATGACAGGTTGATAGTTGAAATCAATGAGGGTGGGAGTATTTACACCATGGCAATTGGCAATTGGCAGATTAGGCCCTCCCTGCCCCACCTGCCCTGGCCTATTGTTTAATGTTTGCTAACACACCTCAGCCTCCAAGCAACACACGGGCTCCAAGCAACACAAGGGCTCCTTGTGTTGGTTTCCCCTCTAATCATCTCCTTTCTAGCCCTCTTTGTGTTCAAAACTATGGTCAGCTGCCTCTTTCCTTATTTATGAGGAAAGAATCAGGCCTAAGAAAATAGCTACTCAGAACTTAATTTTACTAATTTTTATTTCAGGAAAAATCCTGTGGTATCTAATTTTATCAGGGTTCAGTAGTACAGCATGGCAGCTAATACCATGGTTTCTCCAGCCAGACAACATGGGTTCAGATTCTAGTTCTTTCACTTGCAACATATACAATCTTAAAGGAGTCACTAAGTGTCCCTCTACCTTTATTTCCTCATGATAACCACAATCACATCTGCTGATGATTGTTGTAAAGATTAAATGAGCTTGTATGTGTGACATACTTAGGATACATCAGGCACAAAGCAAGTGTCCGTGTAGCAATCAGAGTTCAACACATACTCCTCATTTATGGCTGTGTAGCTGGCAGAGTCTGTTAAGAATCTCAGTGTGTCCAGTGCTGCTTGGATAAAATCAGAGGGCAGTTATGGGTCATACAGTTGAGATTATAAAACCATCATGTACACCTCCCACCCCCGCAGGCAGGAGGTGAGCAATGGGCAAGCTCAAAATGAAGCTTTATCTGTGTTTACAGCCACTCCCTCTCACTTGCATCACTACCTGACCTCTGCCTAGGAGATACCCCCCCACCCCCTGCAATTCATGGGAAAATTGTCTTCCATGAAACCGGTCCCTGGTGCCAAAAAGGTTGGAGCCTGCTGGCATACTCTGTTGCCCTTTGTTTCTTCTGTCATTCTGGAAACTGTACCAGTCTATCTGAAGGAGCAGTTTACTAGAGTGTGAAATAAAATAGATAGTTTCTACACAAAATTCCATGCTCAGTCATTGGAGTTGATGGCCCTCTAGACTGTTGGGAGGCATCAGAGGTTTCTGAACTAAAGAGCATAGCCAGGAGCCTCACGTTGAGTACACCAACCTTCTAAGATAGGTAATATTGTTACTTACATTTTCTAAATGCAGAAACTGAGGCTCACAAATAAGTTTAAGATACCTATCCAAGGCTCTAGCCAGCAAGTGGCTATCACCTCCCACTACACAGCCAGCTCCAGATGGGGCAAAGATCCAGACCCTGTAGTGAGTCCAGACCCTGTCTTCCATTCCTCAGTTTCCCACTGTTTCTATTCTTTCTAGGCCCAACTGAGAAATCCCCAGACAAGAAATGAAAACTAAATTGGTTAACACAGTGATCCAGGATGGGTTAAGCAACCCAGGTGCCTCTCCCCAGTCCTCTGTGGGGCAATTAATTACTGGTAATGTCAGAGTTCCATGGGATTAGAGCCCCAGAATCCAGATCCTGTGCAGAATTCCAAGATGTTAACACTTACAGGCTTTCTTGAGTGGGAGGAGACAGAAGGTGGGAATACTTACTTTAAGGAAAAAAGAAAAAGACTTGATCTTGTTTCTGAGAGCTGCTGATTAGAGATAATGACCTTGGGCAGTTCCTTTGCAAGGCAAGGGTGTTTCACTCCCCACACACATCAAATAACTGGCAACTTGGTGTGATCCATATTCCGATTAGCTTTATATTTTAATTCAAAGCTGTTTCTCCTGGCAGGGCTCAGTGCTTTGCTGTTGCTGCCAAGAATCTATGGGGGCTGTGCCAGTTGGTTGGGGGATATTGCTGGTGGTTTTTTTCAACATACAGAATATGCTCTTTCCTCTCATTAGAGGTGCCTTTCAAAGTGTGCACTACTGATCTTTTGAACATGCCCTCTGGAGCAGTCAAGCCCAGCATCTGCTCAGCTGTGTCTGACTCGTCTGGTGTTCTGGCAAGAAGATGGACAGACAAAACAGTAAGGGAAGGAGGGGTCGGGAGGGCAGTGCCGAGGAAAGTCACAGCCTGGGGAGGGTGAGCCTTGTTCTGGGGAGAAAATCCGGGCTATGCTCCTTCAGGCCCCAACTCCAGCTTCCACGGTCTAGAGAGGGCCAAGCCACCCTTGGTAGCCTCTGCCCAGGACACACCAAATATCCTTCAGCCTGGCATGGGACATTGGGGGAACTGGATTTATTCTTCATAAACCTTGAGAGTCAGATACTTTCGTTTTGAAATAGGAAAGTGCAGCACAGCTAGGTAGCTCTTTCCACCTCCATCATGGGCCCCCTACCCCAAGCTTCTACCTCCTCACCAACCCACCTCTAACCCTGAGGGCTTAAAAAATGCCAAAACAAACATTACCTTACCTGCTAGAAGATTGAATACCACTTGAAAAGGCTAAATGTAATTCATTTTGAAAGACAGAAGTATGCTAAAATTAAATTCAAAGAAAGGCTGAAGAAAAACTTTATTTGATCTTTCTCTCAGTTATTAGCCTCAAATGGAGCCAAGTGAACACCACACAGTGGCATGTGGAGCTGTCAGGAACAGCAGGGAGTGGTCTGCATGGGAAGCTTCCCTGGAGCCCTGCCTCCCTGAGACAGCACCCCCAAGGTAAGGCATTTGCCATTCTATTTGATTATTGGGACACAGTGCTGTGGGTGTTGTTACCAGGATCTTGAGTACATTTATGGGAAGACTTCATCATGGGACATCCTTCCACTTCTCCAATTGAAGAGAAGTAAAAGCTGGTTCAGACTGACAAGGGTTGGGGGGATTGCCCCTCCCTGGCAATTTGTCTTAGTATCAGCTCTGCCTGACCTATTCTGGTGACAGGTTGCATGGAACCAAAGGGAATTGGGTTATAATGTCTTCTGGCGGCTCGGCGTCTGTGGCTCAAGCAGCTAAGGCGCCAGCCACATACACCTAAGGTTGCGGGTTCGAATCCCCAGCCCGGGCCCGCCAAACAGCAATGATGGCTGCAACCAAAAAATGGCCAGGCGTTGTGGCGGGCGCCTGTAGTCCCAGCTACTTGGGAGGCTGAGGCAGGAGACTCGCTTACCCAGGAGTTGGAGGTTGCTGTGAGCATGATGCCATGGCACTCTACCCAGGGGGATAGCTTGAGGCTCCGTCTCAAAAAAAAAAAACCCCAAAAATAATGTCTTCTGGTCAAAAAACGGGTAAATAGGGGTGGCATCTGTGGCTCAAAGGAGTAAGGCACTGGCCCCATATGCCAGAGGTATCAGGTTCAAACCGAGCCCCGGCAAAAAACTGCAAAAAACTGCAAAAAAAAAAAAAAAAAAAAAAACCAGGGTAAATACACAGAGATTTGTAATCAGGAATCCCAGAGAAACTTAGCCAGTTTGCCAATGGCCAATTTGGAGTTGAAGCTGGTTCCTGACAACTTGGGGGTTGTCAAAATCAGATACTGGCAAATTCCTAGTTCAAATCCAAAGTAAGTGAGCCATTTCTCTGCAGGTCAACTGGCTAACATGTTGCATAGTTCATCATTATGTCCCTACCCTTTTAAGAGTTTCCCTTTAAAATTCTCTCCGGAAAGTCTAGGGCTTTAGGATATGTAGCCCTTTAGTTATGGGGAAGCCCAGGGTTCATAAATCCTGGCTTTGTTGAGCTCATGGTTCTCTAGGAATGTTTTTAATTACCATTTATGGAGCATTTTCCCTATAGAATCTTTAACAGATTTCTTATCCTCAGAACCCAGATGACTTTCGTAACTCTTGTTTCAGAAATGAACAAGCTAAACCTCAGACAAGTTTAGTAATTAATTTTTTCTTTTATGATTCCACTCAGCTAGTTAATAGTATGACTGGGTTCTCTATTGTATCAAGCTACCTCATTATCAAATGATGTTTTTACCACATATCGAAATAAGGATATTTTTCTTATTTAAGCCTCCTGATAGTTTTCAGTCTGAGGCAGCAGTGCAAAGGCTAAAAAATCTCTGTAGGAAGAGAAGGAAGGATGGCAAGTAATGTAGAAATGGAATAGTGGTATTAACATTCATACTGGAGGCAGTAAAAAACAGAATTAACATTGCAGAAAATTTAAGCTTGGACATAGAAAGGACAGAGATAAGAACCTCTCTCCTAAAATACAACAGAATAGAATAGAGACAGGAAAACATTGAGGAAGAGAAAAGCCCAATTCAAACAGATGTATTATTTAAAAATAAAGTTATAGAAATTATTTATCTCCTGAAAAAAAGACCTATATGCATTGTAGACTAAAATAAAAGCATTTACCATGTTCTTGACAAGAATGAAAGAAAAGAGATCCCATGGAGACAGATCTGTGAATATCTCATAATTTGTGTCTTCTCTGTGCACCAAATGGCAGAAGCCCCCAAATATGGAGGTAGGGGGGCATAAAACATATCTGGACTCTGGTGCATGATAAAAGGTGGCAATTGCACACATTTAGGCCATGATTTTTATAATATAGAAACAGATTTAATGCCATGTCTGCACACGCTATTACCCTGGAAGGATGGTGAAATACAAAGCATCGGCTAGGACATGCCCCTGAGTTTTTTTATGGTGATCTATCCAATGTCCACCTTAAATCTTTCTTTCCCTTGATCCCTTTTTCTTCTTAACTGTCTCTGTACTTTCCTCCTTGTAGGGTAAGGTTTGAGATTTCTTAGCACTGCTCTTGACACCCAGGGACACTTGAACTTCCCGGTGCATCCTACTGCAGCAGGGTAGGACAGGAGACAAGAACCAGGTGTCTCCCAGGTGACACGATGGGGGGCCGATAGGTGAGGGTCTGGCAATATGGAGGTGGTGGCCAGAAAAATCTCAGATGACATAAGAGAGAGATTCTAGAATCTTACTGAGGGAGGGAGAAATTTAAAAACATGGGAAGGGAGTGACATCTGGGCATACCCAAAGATTTAGAGCCCCTGGGAATCTTGTCAGTTATGTAAAGGCAACACCCCAGACCTTGGGCAGCTGATTCAGGGAGGTAGATATGTGGAGGTCGCAGAAAAAGGGATCAGAGTGGACACATCCTCACCATGGGCTCTAATTCAGGTCAGACAGAAGGAAGACTGAGACCACAGCAGAGTTAGCACAAGAATTCGGGCCTCCTCAACCTTGTTTAGTGGAAAACAATTTCTGAATTCTATAACCTGTTCTCCTTCCCTACGAATTTCAAGTATTAGTTTTGACCCTCATAGCATCAAACACCAGAGAGCTGATTCTTCTAAATATTGATAACCAATAAGATAAAATAGCACAGAACGCAAATCTGCTCCCCCCAGGAGGAGGTCATATTCCTGTTTTCTGTGCCTTCCTCTAACTCTTTCTTCCAGGAGGCTGTTGCTTGTTGTGATTATGTCTGGATATGTCCATATTTATTTCCTTTAATATAACTGTAGACAGAGGGGGATGCTGGAATCTTATGTCTTTATAATTAATGATATAGGTAACTATAGGTTACTTTCTGTGCACTCCAGCAAGCAACAGAACCTTAAGATTTCAAAGCTGGATAAAAGTCATAAAGACCATTCAGTTAAAACATCTTACTTTATCCAAAAGCAAAATCAAGAGGCTCAGAGAGGTAAAGGATCCTATTTGTGATTTCACAGAAAATGGGAGACAGAAATAACAACAGAAGTTTCTGAATAAGGACATGCCTGTTGCATCATAGAACAAAATCTAAGAGATGGGTTTTTGTAATAGTTTAACAATATAAACTACAAGGATGATTGCAGGAAACAGTGATTCTCCTTTCATTTAATGGCAATGTAAAAGAATGCTGACACAGACCTCCATGCCACTCCAAAAAAAAAAAAAAAAAAAAAATATATATATATATATATATGATCTCAAATGGCTAACAGCGTCCTGGGTCCCTGTCCAGAGGCTGCTCCTCTGCCTGGGCTGGACTAAGAGTTGCTGGAGGTTTGGGGATATGGGACACATCTGTCCCAGGGCCAATGGGATTAGCTGAAAGGTTTTGCTTATCTCCCATTTTTACTTCCTTATGACAGTGGTGGACTGTGTTGCAACGAGTGGTATGTGGTCTGTGTATTAGCTTTCTGGTGCTTCAGTAACAAACTCCATAAATTCAGTGGCTTAAAGCAACAGAAATTTATTCTCTCCCTTCTAGAGACTAGAGGTCTGAAATTGGGGTGTGAGTAGAGCCCTGTTGTCTTCTGAGGCTCGGGGAAGTCTCTCCCAGGTCCCTCTCTCTCCTGGCCATCCCCGGTGCTCTCTGCCTCGTAGCCACATCACTCCAGTCTGACTCCGGCCAGTGGCCGCCTTCCTTCTGTGCACGTCTTTCTCTGTTTTCCAATCTCTCTCCTGTTAAGGATTCTAGTCATTGCATTTAGGGCCCACCCTAATCCAGTGTGACCTCATCGTCACTTGACTACATCTGTAAAGACCCCATTTCCAAATAAGGCCACATTCGTGGGTGTGGGGGTTCAGACTTCATTGTCTTTTTTGGAAGACGCAATTCAGCCCACAATAAGCAGCATCCAGACAGCTCACTTATCCTCTGATCTGCGCAGCACCAGTAGTGACACCCTCCATGAGCACGGGCTGCGTCCCTCTTGGTGCACTCTCAGAGCCCACGTAGGGGAAGCATGGTTCCCACTCTGCAGAAGGCTTTCCCACAGTCCCTGTGTGGTTTTGTCTATGGGAAGCCTCTCCTCCTCCATCTTAAAACTTCTCCTGCATTGTTCATGGCTGCTGTTTTCTTGTCTCTCAGATTCCTGGTTCCAACACACACAATGAGTTGAGGTGTGTCACCTCACCCAGGGAAGATTTGGCGCTAGCATTCCAAGACCAGCATGGGACTTCATATAAACAGGACTCTGAGACCTCTTGAGATGACAGGAAGATGGAGTGTAGGGGTGACACAATAGTTCCCACAAGATCCTGGTTTCTGAAGTACACCTTAATTTCTAAAAGGTTTCGATGTCTCCTTTGTTCATTTTCTCTTCTGTATGTCACAAAGTCACACCCTTCACGTTAGCACTAAAAGTGGGACTCTTCTTATCTTTACTTCTGGAGTGTGTATGAGCAGTTGACTTCTCTTGACAGTCAAGTTGACTTCTCTTGACGGTGCATATGAGCAGTTGACTTCTCTTGATGGTCAAGCAGTTGACTTCTCTTGACGGTCAAGTTGACTTCTCTTGATGGTCAACTCCAGCATTTGTGCAGAAGACAGGTGTCATAAGGACCTTGCATGGACACTGTCAGTGGGTCAGCATTGGCTCTGCTGCAGGGGAGACGTTGGCTTCACACACAAATGTCTGTTTCAGTGGTGTTGGTCCGGGGGAAAGTCCGGCTGGATGTCAAGGGTGGCTCAGATGGCGGTTGTCACTCAAAGAGCTCCAGGTAGTCAGGTGGCTGCTCTTGCTGTCCACATGGGTAGAGGAGGAGCTCCCTCCCCAGTGAAGTGATCGGCTCCTCCTGTGACACAGAGGGGACAGGGTCAGAGCAATAATCACATGCCCTTCCCACCACTCGGATATACATAAACTTTTCTTGGTTTATGGCCATCTTAAGAGATTTCTACTTATCCACAAACCTCTGAGTACTTGCTTCCCTTCCCCCCCAGGGCTCAAGCTCTAACTTAAGACTGGTCTTGCTCACGCCTATAATCCTAGCATTCTGGGAGGTTGAGGAGGGTGGACTGCCCTGAGCTCACAGATTCAAGATCAGCCTGAGCAAGAGCAAGACCCCTGTCTCTAAAAATAGCTGGGCATTGTGTTAAGCACCTATAGTCCCAGCTACTTGGGAGGCAGAGTTAGAGGTTGCCGTGAGCTACAATGCCACAGCACTCTACCAAGGGAAACAAAGTGAGACTCTGCCTCAGAAATAAAAAGACTATTCTCAGATGAGATTAGTCATCTGAGCCTTAGCGGGGGATCCTTAGGCTCTGTCCTTAGGGGGGATCCCCCTAAGTCTCTGAGGAAGAACAAGGTTCTATTATAAAGGAAGTACAATTCGGAGTCCTGTTTATCACGAGGAATTATCAGAGACAAATCCTTTTGCTTGTTTGAATTCTTTACATTTTACAAGGGTATATGTCAAATCTATTGAGTGTAGAGTGTAAATGTCTTAACACGATAATTAAGAAAGTGAAGGCTATGTTAGCCAGTTTGTTGTATTTCAAATTGTATATAAAATCAGCACATTGTACCCCATAAATGCATTAATACACACAGCTATGATTTAATTAAAAAAAAAAAAAAGAGCTGCTGCAGGACAATACCACACTGAGCCCACGAAGCTGCCCAGTGGCCTCACCTTGTGATAGTCCACCAAGTCCTCCAAGGTCGCGTGCTGCAGCTGGTCCACGCCCAGGAAGCTGTAGGCGTCTGCAGAGGCGTCAATGAGGAAGTGTTTACAGCCCTCCTCGGACAGATAGGACAGGGCATAGCCTTTGATCTTCTCGCTCACTCGGATTAGGAAACTGCCCGGCCTGCCTGTGCTCAGAAGCAGCTCATTGGCTTTCTTGAGCGTGAGAATACCTGCAGGAAAGAAGACAGAGAAACATTTCAGCCAATCATCTCCCAAGTTCTCCTGTTAAATCCAGCTTCACGGATCAAGTTTAGGAAAAAATAAAAGCAATCAAGTCTTTTAGGGGCTTGTTAGGAATATAGTAAAATACGTTTCCAGTACTTGGGAACTGGACCAGGGTGGGTTAGGTGGGCGAATGGATAGTGTGAATGAGAGCTTCCATGTTCAACCTTCATCAGAACACCTGTCCACTTGTAGCCCCTGTTTGTGACAACATGGGTGTTACACAGTTTGTGAGGTTCTAGCAGGTGACCTGGTCATACTGGGAGTATCAGATCTGGGAGGCACTTACAGATGCTTTTCTTAGGTTGCCTCAGTTTACCAATGAGGACTGATTGGCCTGGAGAACTACTGGACTTGTTGTACAATAGCAGTTCTCTAGTGTCTGAGAGACATTCTGGGTGGTCATGAGTGTGGTGTACTCCTGGTATCTGGGCCGAGGTGGGGATCTGCTAAACTCCCTACAATGCACAGGGCAGCCTTACACTACAGAGAATGATCCTGTCCTGAACGTCAGCTGTGCTCAGCTGAGACACCATCTTGGTCTCTCAAGGTCAGCAAGTTCATGACAGAACCAGGTCAGACCCACATCTACAAGATACCATCTACTGATGCTACTCCCAGCATTTAAAGGAATAAAATTCTATATATGTGAGTTGTTGTGAAAGTTTTGAGATACACAAAAATCAAGAAATGTAAAATCTGCACGGATGGAAATAAATAAATTCCCACCAGCGTCACCAATCGGCTGAGCAAGTTGAAACTTGCACAGGTGAATTAGAAAGGACGCTGCTGACTGTGTTTCCTGGAAGTGAAATAATGGGCCCTAATATAGTCTGTCTCAAAACTTTCATAGTAACCTACATATTTGCCTTCATATGCACTCAAAGGAATAAAGTCTCTATCTACATGAAGTTAGATGTAATTTAGACACCTCAGAAATTCTCATACTTCAGACTAGCCTCTTCCCCAATTAGTCCAAACTCATGAGGTTTAACTCATATTCCAAATTCCCCTTCTTATTCCCACTATAATTCCTCAGATGAACAGATCACACTGGAGCATGCACAGAATGAACACAAACACATCTCGGAAAGATGGTGAGCTTGCAGGTTATTCGGTGAGCTCGGATTTGGGAGGAGTGACCCCATTCTCCTGCCTTCTCCTGCCCCAGCACCAGCACCCTGCTAATAGTACTTTCTTATCAGGGAAACAAAGCAAAACCCCAAACCTCCTTGTGAAAAGGCAATGGGTTATCACAGTCCTTCAGTCTTATTGCTAGTAAAGTTAATTGAGATGTGAACACCAATTATCTAGACTAAAATAAAACCATTCCTGCTCTCTTTTCTGTGAACAGACCTTCAGAGAGTATTGAAAGAACAGACTGTTCTTCTCCAGATAATTTCAACCAATCAGTCCCTGCCTCTTCCTCTCCCCTACTCATTCAGAAGTGTGTAAGGGACAGTGCAGTTTGGGACCCCGAGGTGAAAACAGAGGGTGGATGAAAAGGCCTGACAGCTCCCCTCCATCACAGATGGTCATGTCCCTGGGCGCAGGAAGTCCCCAGCCTCTCTCCTAGGGCACTGGGCTCTACTGCACTGGTTCCAGCAAGGTTACTAAAGCCTTTGTGTCACACCAGCCACCTCTCCACCCTTTCCCCACTGAGACTGACCCACAGGACACGTGTCAGGTCTTTGGGTCAGGAGCTATACCAGCCACTTTACACACTCGGGCGAGGACAGTTAAAGTTCCAACAGACACAAACTGCTGGCCTTTTGCTCTTTCATTTAATCCTCAAATAACCATGAAACAAGCAAAGCTGATATCCTTATCATCTCCATTTCTTAGTAAACAAAGGTAGAAAAGGTAGGTGCGTGAGGTGGCAGGCTGAGTGAGTCATGGTTCCAAGGCTCTTGTCTCCTACCCTAGGGTATTTTTTTGTTTGTTTTGAGGGAGTGGGGGACACTTGGGCTCATGAAATTCTCCTGGAATGAGCTCCAAATAAAATGAGTATTTCACAACTAGGCGTTCATTTCTCACCTGCACAACTGAAACAAGATGCACTTCTCAGTGATTATTTATGTTTAGTCTGCCGGGATGTGGGGACAGGATGACACATCAGTGACCTTCCCCACCTCCAGCCTGGGATTCATGTTGCTGGAGACCCGGGAAGCTCCTCAGGACTTAACAATCCCAGGACTGGGATGATGAGTGTCATTTCTCTTACTTTATGACTTTGATGGCTACCACTTATTAACCAGGCCTTACAAGGAGCCACACACAGTTCTGAGTGACCAACCTGTGTTAAGTCATTTAATCCTTGGAACCCTTTGAGGTAGGAACATCATTATCAGGATTATACTGATGAGAGGCGAACGGAGTCCTGAGACTTGCCTAAGGCCACACAGCTAGTTGGTGGAAGACTGGAAATGTCAAGCCAGGCAGTGTGGCCCCAGGGATGTGTTCTTAATTACTTATTTACTTTACTGCCTTCCCTTGGGCTGGCATGAAGAAATAGAGTCCAGCATCATCTGGCCATGGCAGGAGAAATTGTCCATGAAGCATGTGACACCAAAGAAGTGCTAATGACAGAAGCATGGCTTTTAAACAGTGGGATCCTCTTTCTGTACAAAATTCTAAGGAGAACCCCCAAAGCAGATCATTCTCCTTCACCTCTCACCCGCCCTCTCACCCTGCCCTGGTCTCTGAGGCCCCTTCTGGGTGGGCATTTGCAATGGGAAGGTTGGGCTCCCAGGCACAGGCGGTGAGGACTCAAGTCCATCACTTATAAAAACCCAAGTAGAAGAGAGTTTGGGCAGCTAATGGCCTATTCTTCACATTAATGGAAAAACATAGTAACATTTTTACAGGAAGGTTGTTTGCTGCGCTGAGTAATTTATGAGAAAAGTGAGGGTCTTCCAAGAAAAAAAAAAAAAAGCACAGACTTTTCTGCAGAAAAGCTCCCTCTTTCCAAATCTGAATAAATGTGTGTGGCTTTGACCTCTTTATGTTTTACCTTGTCTAGTTACTTCCAAATCTGAACAAATACTAGACAGTTATATAGGAGGATTACAGAGAATAATTCAACAAAAAGTGCTTTGTGAAAAGGAGCCTGGCTGGGCCATCACAAGGTCAGGGCCGTGACTGCCAGGGAATGGATGTCCAGCTGTTCTTCTTGGCTACACACAAGTAGTGACTGATTCTTGCTGCTGGACACAGCCTATCCACTCCATAAAATATATGAATCAGACATGTAAATGTGGCAAGGTGGATATGTCATCTGGGGTTTAGGAACAAAAAGGCTTTGAGAAGTCACATAAGTCAGTAATTTGTGCTTGGTGAAGACAAAAGCTTATGAAAATCCCTCTTGTGATAGGTGGGCAGAATTTTGATGGCCCCACAATGAAGAAATTTCTACTCCTCAACAACATAGTTATAGGACAGATTATCACTTCTGGGTGTTAATTCACAGGTTCACTAAAACTGCATTAAGAAAGGCACTGGAAGCTTCGTAATCTATTCAGTTCTCTCTGCTCAGTCTGAGGTGGCATCTGGTCCTCACACTGAAGGAGCTGTGGGGTGACAAGCTGCCATAAGCTGCCACTTCAACAATCATCTCGAGGGAAGTGAGGCTCCCGAGAATAACTGCCTCCCCAGAAAGGGATAGGATTTACCCCCCAAAGAGAAAGAGACAGCAGGATATGCCAAAAATAGCAGAACTCAAAACAGCTAAAATGAGAACTATCTTGTATCCCAACAAAGTTAAAGGAATTTACTTTATAAGTAGCTGAAAATATAAAACATTGGGACTAAAGCATTAAGAGGGCAGGTTGAATTACATGCTGTGACAGCCAAAGATCCATGAACCATCTAAGGATATCCATATTTGAATAAGAAAATGTTAATGACATTTCAGAGAAATAATAACCAACTATTGATGCATAGGGCAAATAGGTGTATTCTCTAACCACAGAAAAAATGAGGAAATTCCTAAATCAGAAATTTTGTTTACACATTTCTGTTTTTGTAATGCACCTTCCTGACTCTAGTCCTTGCCAGATTCTAAGCTTAAAAGATGAACTTAAAGATATTCAGTTCTCCTAAGCTCGTCTGCAATGCTGGCATAGGAGTTTGAAAATGTTGATACAAAATGAATCTGGATTTCTGGCCAGAACTTCAAACTTGAATTGTATTTATTCTTTGGCCCTCTCTTGAGGAAACTTAAAGGCAGGGTAGTGGGTATTTTTGATTATATATCTATACACAAGGGGGATTCATAATCAGCAAATGGATTGAGTGAGATATCTTTGTTCAGTCATTAGCCATTAAGACTTTCCAACATTTACCTCTTACTTTACAAATATTATCGACTATAAGGTCTATCTTAAAGAATGCTGAAATATGGCAACCAGATGCAAGAATAAAATGAATAAAAATAAGGATTACATTCAAGGGTCTGGAAAGTTCTGAACTGTAAAAATGGAGCCCAGGACAATAGGATCAGAAGAGACACAGGGTGACAAAGAGAGAAGGCAGTCCTCCTGGCTGGTACAGGTGGCTCCCACCTGGAATCCTAGCACTTGAGAGGCTGAGACTTGTGGATTGCTTGAGTTTGGGAGTTCGAGACCAGCCTGAGCAAGAGCAAGACCCTATCTCTACTAAAACTAGAAAAACTAGTCAAATGTTGTGGCAGGCATCGGTAGTACCAGCTACTAGGGAGGCTGAGGAAAGAGAATCGCTTGAGCCCAGGAGTTTGAGGTTGCTGTGATCTATGATGCCATAGCTCTCTAGTCTGTGGCAATGGAGTAAGACTCTGTAAGAAAGAGAGAAAGAGAGAAAAGAGAGAAAAGAAAGGAGAAAGGGAGGGAGGGAGGAAAGAAAGGAAGGAAGAGAAGGAAGAGAAGGAAGGAAAGAAAGGAGAGAAGGGAAAGAAGGAAGGGAAAAGGAAGGAAGGAAAGAAAGGAAAGAAAAGGAAGAGAAAAAAGAAAAGAAAGAAAACAATTTTCTTCAGGAGACAAAACCAATTAGACTTAATCACTTACAGTACTCAGAAGATCATACAGTAGAAACTAGTAGCTATTACTTTAGCAACTCTAGGACTTCCTCCCATCTCTCTGCACCGTCCTCCCCAAACCCAAGCTCAATCTTAATCTGCAATGTTTTGCCAAATTCTTCCAAACAACTTCATGCTCTGTTGGTAAGGGAGTCCTTGTGTCCTTCCAAATTACTGTTCTGAGGTGACCTCCTGGCTCTTTAAGGACATGCTCTCAATAAATACTTGTGGAAAGAGCATAGGACAGTTGTTACAGCAATTATGATCTATTTCATTAAAGTACTGCTTATTTCTTATATAGGACTGTTCCTCAAAATGGTATTTCCTGCCATTTAGGATTATGCTGAAGAAAAAGGTAGAGAGAACAGGAAGGGTGAACTTAAAGATGTTCAGTTCTGCTAACTCATAATAACAGAAATACTAGGTTCAGGCACTGATGCAAGCATTTTACATATATTAGCTGATTTACTTTATAACACCAATCCAATGACAGCACAGCTACATTATCATGACCCTCATTTGACAGAGAAGAAAACACAACTCAAACCTATGTGATCTGGTCCTTACATTTAAAATCCTCCCTCCTTTCATTGTTAGCCTTTTGGGAGCGAGAAATTAAAGACCAGGTCACAGGTGCGTCCAACCTTTTTTGCTGCTGCACCTTGGGAGAAGAAAAGTTGACTTGGGCCACGCAGTAAATACATAGACACTAACAAAAGCCGACAAACACACACACAAAAAAGGTTTGCACATAATTTTCATGATATCCGACACCAGCACAAATAAAAGGAAGCATTCATTCTTTCTGCCTTCCTGGTGGATTAGCACAGATTCATCTGCCCATGGGGGAGGTTCTGAAAAGGAATCTCTGCACTCACCATGGAACCAGGGAGCTATGGTGTCTGAGGTTTTCTGGTAGCCTGCTCTTAACGGCAGCTGCTCCTCTTTAAACCAGCGGATGGTGTCCTCCTGGGCGGAACTGGATGTGGTCCTCATCACCCCCTGATTTCTGTTATTTATAAAAGTTGTTTAAGTTAGAATTAACTAATTTGAAAATAATGCCCTGAAAAATATACATATGTGTGTACATATATGTGTATGTTATATATATATATATGTACACACATATGTATACATACATACATATATATATATATATATATATAAAGAGAGAGGGAGAGCACACAAGAGAGAATTATAGACATTTCAAGATATAATTACATGGGCTGAGCTAATGAGAGCGGGGCTCCCTGCACACCACCATTATTTAACTCCTCAAGGGCAGAGGAGAAGGCACATAAATCTGTCACTTGTCCTTTCAGTCCTAACGGGCTAGAATGAGCCACTGCTGTGTTAATGGATAGATATAAATTCATTTGTAATATGAATTAGAAGCTGGATGAACTCCCAATTAAAACTTGATAAAATAAACATTAACACATAGAATACATTTTTACCCCAACGTTATTTTCCTCAAGAGCATATACTTGCAAATAAAGCAATCAAATGTAAATAATTTCTTTCCTAACATCTTCATTATTTGATTTTCTTTTCTGTGTTTCCACTAATCTCCCTGATTTGCTTTCTTCCCTCCCACACTGCAAAAAAAAACAGTCTCAGAAAGATAAAGTAAATGGAAGAAGGGTATTTGGAGACTGGTAAGAAACAGATAGAGGCAGCAGAATCATTTTGAAATAAATTCAGTAGCAGAACTTAAGTTCTGGAATGTAAGTTAATTTCCACTACAGAAAGTGACCCTGCAATGTTACACACATATTTCCAAGTCTCGTTCGACAGTCTACTGACTTTGAGCAGAATTCAATTTAAACACAACACCACCACCATGGCTGTCAGGAAAGTATCTTGTCTGTGCAAAGACCTGCTGGAAGATGTATAACTAGCTGAGCCAACAAGATAGACTCTCCAGCCTCTGTCCCATAACAGATCCTGACGGGGTCCAGTCTCAACTCCAGCCCCTCTTGCTGTAGTTGAGACCTATTTCATCTGTACAGGGATCTGCTGGGAGACTCACCTGTCTGAGTCACAGCTTTACTTCCATCCCCAGGCAGCTTTCCCACATAGCCCCTATACCCTCCCTGGGTCTTCACCATGGAAACCTTGGAGCCATCACAAGAGTGGTAGCAAGCCTGTGCTTAGAGCACCCTCTAGTGATGAGATAGCTGTAGTGGTCACAGACTCAGGAGATAAAACCATCAGCCGACTTGGGATGTCTGGAAGGCCCTTTGAAGGACAGGATAAAGCCAAATTGTGGAGACTGTATCAGGTACCTAATCCCTCAATAGGCAGGCACTGTTGCACATCCACAAGGATCAAGAACATTCCATGAAACATAGCCTTACCAAACATAAAAAATAAGGCACTAGAGGTCAACCCTCAAGTGATGGACACGTGTAATTTCTTAAAGAATTCAAAATAGCTGTTTAAGGAAGCTCAGCAAACTTAAGGAAAACACAGAGAATCAATTCGGAAATTTATCAGGGAAATTTAGCAGAGATTAAGATCATTTTTAAAAAATCAAACAGAAGGGCGGCACCTATTGCTCAAAGAGTAGGGCACCAGCCCCATATACCAGGGGTGACGGGTTCAAGCCCAGCCCCAGCCAAAACTGGAAAATAAATAAATAAATAAAATAAAACAGAAATTCTAGTGGTAAAAAATAGACTAAGTGAAATTAAAAATGTACCAAAGAACATTAACAGCAGATTTGATTAAAAAAAAAAAAGAAAAAGACACCAAAGACAGGCTATTTGAAAATACACAGGAGAAAAAGGGAAAAGATACTACTAAAGCTTATGGGATCTATGGGACAACACTGAAAAGGCAAAGATTCAAGTTATTAGAGTTAAAGAGAGGATTAAGGAAAAACAAAGGGTTGTACAAAACTTATTCAAAGAAATAACCGGGCTGGATGCAGTGGCTCACGCCTGTAATCCTACCACTTAGGAGGCTGAGGCAATGAATTGCCTGAGCTTATGAGTTCCAGACCAGCCTGAGCAAGAGCCAGACCCCTGTCTCTAAAAATAATAGCCAGGCATTGTGGTGGGCACCTGTAGTCCCAGCTACTTGGGAGGCTGAGGCAAGAGAATGGCTTAAGCCCAAGAGTTTCAGGTTACTGTGAGCTGTGATACTATAGCACTCTACCAAGGGTAACATAATAAGACTGTCTCAAAAAAAAAAAAAAAAAAAAAAAAAAAAAAAGATAGAATACCAGAAAGCCTTCCAAACCTGAAATAAGAAATAAATATCCAGGTTATCAGGTATAGGAAGGTGAAAGTTCACCAGTCAGATTCACCCCCAAATAGAATACCCCTAGACATACTGATCTCAAAGGTCAAAGACAAAAAGAGGATCATGAAACCAGTGAAAGGAAAGAAAAAAACAACTTAAAGAGAGATCCAGTATGCCTGGCAGTAGGCCAGGAGGAAGCAGGACAATATACTTGCAGCTCAGAAGAGAAAAAAACCTCTCAACCAAGAATAATGTACCCAGCAAAGAAATCCTTCAGAAATCAAGGAGAAATCAAGGAAAGAGTTTCCCCAACAAAATCTGAGTGAATTAACTGCTACCAGACATGTCCTATAAGGAATGCTGAAAGAAATTCTTCCATCTGAAAGAAACAAATGCTAATGTGATTATTATTCTTATACTGTAACCATGGTGTGTAAAACATTTAAAGTCTCTTTAGTATGAAGATTAAAAGACAAAACTATTAAAAATAATTATGATAGTAGCTCAAAGAACACGGTCCCGGCATAGAAAACAGGTACCATCCATGCATTTATAGCCAACAGACTTTTGACAAAGACACCAAGAACACACTGGAGAAAGAATAATCTCTTCAACAAATGGTGCTGAGGAAACTGGATATCCACATGAAGAATGAAACTAGACTTGTACCTCTTACCATATACCAAAAAATCAACTCAAAGTGGGTTAAAGATTTGAATGTAAGACCCAAAAGTATAAAGCTACTAGAAGAAAATCTAGGGGAAATGCTTCATGTCACTAATCTGGGCAAGGACTTTTTCAAATAAAACCTCAACTTTACAAGCAACAGAAGCAAAAATAGACAGATGGGATTGTAACAAGCTAATAAGCTTCTGTCCAGCAAAGGAAACAATCAACAGAGTGAACTGACAACTTACAGAATGGGAGAAAATATTCACAAACTCTGCATCTGACAAGGGGCTAATATCTAGAATATGTAGGGACTCAACTCAATAGCAAATAATAATAATCCAAATTTAAAAATGGACAAAAAGACCTTAATTGATATTTCTCAAAGAAGACATACAATTAGCTAACAGGTGTATGAAAAAACATGTGACATCACTATTCAGGGAAATGGAAATCAAAAGCACAATGACCTATCACCCCACCCTAGTTAGAACAGCTCTTACCAAAAAGAAAAAAATAAAAATGCTGATGAGGATGTGAAGAAAGGACAACTCTTACACACTATTGGTGGGAATATAAATTAGTACCGCCTTTCTGAACAACAGTATGAAATTCCTTAAAAATCTTAAAATGGAACACATAGATCCCAAGAATTCTACTACTGAGTATATATCCACAGAAAATGAAATCCATTATGTTGAAGAGGTACCTGAAGTTCCATGTTTATTGTGTACTATTCCCAAAAGCCACTATGCGGAACCCGCCCAAGCACCCATCAGTGGATGAATGGCTTAAAGAACGCAGTGTACACACACAGTGGAGCAATACTCAGCCATAAAAAAGGAATAAAAATCCTGTCATTTGCAACAACATGGAAGATCCTGGAGGACGTTATGTTAAGTGAAATAAACCACGCACAGAGTAAAAAATACTGGATGATGTGGAATGTGCGTGGAATGTAAAAGAAGCAGAGACTGGTAGGGTGGTTATCAGAGGCTGGGGAGAGTAGGGGGAAGGAGGGATGAGGAGAGTCGGTCAATGGGTACAAAGTTATGGTTAGAAAGGAGAAATAGTTGTGGTGTTATATTGTGTAGCAAGGCGACTAAAATCAACAATAATGTATGCAGTAGCCAGAAGATATGATTTTGAATGTTCTCACCACAAAGAAATGACAAGTGTTTAAGGCGATGGGTGTGCTAATTATTGTGATGTGACCACTACACAATGTATTTGCATGTATGTGTCAACACATCACATTGGATCCCCATAAATCTGTATGATTCTTATGGACCAATTAAAAACAAGATTCATACAACAATGAAGAGTCTGAATGAGCTACTAGAATTTCTTGTAATTCAAATTAACTTACAGCACTTTATGCTATTGATAGTAACATATGACATCATGAGTTACATGTGACATATATATCAGATGATATGAATGTGTCTATATGTGTGTACACATGTATGTATTATTCCTCATGATTTCCAGAGCCTTTTGGAAAAAATATCCTACAATATTTGACCTTCCTGGGAAGCAGACATACACATGACATTATAGGATAAATTCTCGTACTGTACTAGCTTCCAAATGAGGTTCTTTTGGGAAGAAGTCTTTGAAAATCAAACAGTACAAAAAAAAAAAAAAAGAAAATCAAACAGTACTCCAAAGACACAGGAGAAGCCAGTCTCTGTCTTTTCCTGGGCTGGCTCCAAGCTGACCTCTGTCATTACAGTTGAAAGTCCCAGCCCGAAACCCACCCAGTCTGACTCACAAGACGCACTTCATGCAATGTCTTAATTTGGAAACAGTGAGCTAATGGAGCACAGCTTAAAAATAAGAATTGCCCTTTTTGAAAGGCCACCTTCATTGCTGTCAATCAAATATACTGTGCTCAAAAATGGTGCAGGAAAGGGACATCTTGCAAGTTGTTTTTCCGTTCTGCCCTTGGAGGAGACAGAGAACATGCGTGACCTGCACACACTGCCCTGGAGTCTCCCTGGCCAGCACGCACACAGACAAGCCCCAGAACTAAGAGGGCCACACACTTCTGTGACCTGTTCATAGAACTAAGGGGACACCTGTTTCCTGACTATATTTCTTGTTTTTTTGTCCATAAGAAATAAATCATTCTCCAAACTGTCACTTTGTATAACACGGTCATTGAGGTTGGTCCCCGTGTCCCAAAATAGAACCTTTCAGTTGAGTAAGAAGAAATAATTATAGTAGAGGAACAGGTCCACCTTAGGATTTTTGCTGAGGTCATCAGCCCTGTTTACAAAAAAAAAAAAAAAAAAAAAAAAAACTTGAAGATATTTACGCATTCCAAGCAAAGAGAGATCTTTGTTTTTCATTTCTCCATACTCTTTTTTTTTTTTTTTAGAGACAGAATCTCACTATGTCACCCTCAGTAGAGTGCTGTCGCATCACAGCTCACAGCAACCTCAAACTCTTGGAGTTAACCAATTCTCTTGCCTCAGCCTCCCAAGTAGCTGGGACTACACCTGGCTATTTTTTGTTGCAGTTGTCATTGTTGTTGGCCCAGGCTGGGCTCAAACCTGCCAGCCTCAGTGCATGTAGCTGGCTCCATAACCACTATGCTACAGGTGCCAAGCCATTTCTCCATACTCTTTTTTTTTTTTTTTTTTTTTGCAGTTTTTGGCTGGGGCTGGCTTTGAACCCACCACCCCCAGCACCTCCAGCATATGAGGCCGGCGCCCTGCTCCTTTGAGCCAACAGAGCAGTATTTTTAAGTTTCGTTCCAGAGGCAAAGTTTCAGACAGTTTTGCTTCTTTCAATCAGTATTTGATTTTAAATACTTAGTTCTAAATATTAGAATATTAAAAGTAATACAATATCAGTAACAAGGAAAAAACAATTTTATGATGAGTAAACCTAAGGGATTTGGAATTTCTGTTTTAATATCATACTTTCCTTCAGGGATATTCCAAAACAAATTGTTCTTTCTAATTCCCTCAAAGCCTAGGAGGTAAAGGTCCCTTTATCACCAAAGGAAGAGTTCATTAAAAAAGGAAACATTTCCAAATTCTCAAAAGATGAACTTGGCTTTGTATCCTGGAATGAGAATTACTGTCAAAGTTTCAATCTTCAGCAGTGAAAGCACAGTGAAAGTCAGCGAGGCCACAGGTCCACACCTGGATATTCCTTTACTACCGGAGTGACCTTGGGCATCCAGGGAACCCCAGTTGTCCCCTATTTTCCCCTCTCTGGTTCACCTGCTGCCACTTGGGGGCATAGGAAGTCACCTAGCTTGATAGGCACCATCACTGTGTTATTGGTTATACTCATTCTAATGACTATAGACATGTTACAGCTAAGAGGGGAAGAGTACCCCATTAGGTACCCCGGAAAGAAGGCTCAAAGGTGAGTCTGAGTTACACAGACAGCTGGCTGGTCCTCCACCTCCCATGACAGGTCATATAATTTGTCTTCAATCCATCCATTTCAATACTTCTGCCTAAAGCCACCTGCCTAGTTCCTTACCTGTGAGGTATTTGAGGGTTTAGGAACTGAGGCTTCGGTGGAAGAGGAGGTCTTTTTGGTTTCTGTGGAACACTCTGAATTCCTGCACTGCCTTGGCCCCGCTGGGCCCCCAGGGATAGCCTCTTGTAGTCTTCCCGCGCTTGTTTAGCCAGGGAGCGTCTCTTCTCATCAGCTGCCTTGGATTTTCGCACTAGAAAAAGAAAGCAGTTTTAAGAATGGCCCTCATCAGCCTGCAGAGAGGGGAGCAGGCTCAGCCCTGCACAAGGGACCACAGAGCAGGTTCTCGGAGGCCTGTAACCTGCTATGGTCAGGGACAGCCACTATTGCTGCCCACCACGCAGGCCAGCAGGGCTTGCCCAGAGCTCACTGCCTGGCTCCGCTCTTCATATAGAGACTAAGGGTTTTCTGAGCAGGAAAAGTTGAGACAGAAGTGGAGAATGTGAGTAAGAAGCTCCTGCTGTCAGCAAGACTCAGTGATGAGTCCCATGCTGAGCAAGGATTCAAGTTGTTGGGGTGCTGAATAATGAGAGGCAGCTGTCACATGCCTCTGCTACTCATGTTCAGATGCAGTGTGCAGGGTCACCAGCAAAGACCAGGCAGTGAGGACTACTCAGTGGCACGGGGGTATGGACGGGCTGGAAAGAGCAGGTAGCTGGACCTAATGTGAGCAAATGCTTTAGGGATGTTTAACCACAGGTAATAGCAGAACACCTTGTCACACGTAAAAGTGCCCCAAGGCTGCCTTTTAATATTACAGTCACATGTCCCTTAACAACAGGGTAGGTTCCAAGAAATGAGTCACGAGGCAATTTTGTCCTTGTGTGAATATCACGGCATGTGCTCGCACACCTGGAAAACACACCTGCCACCTCCTATGGGGTTTGGCCTCGTGTTCCCAGGCCAAAAGCCCACACAGTGGGTTACTTGCTGAATACTGTATGCGATTCTAACACAGTGATAAGTATTTGTGTATATAAACACAAAAAGGGAACAGAATAGTAAAATACAGCATAAAAGCCAAAAAAAATGGTACACCTGTCTAGGGCACTTACCATGAATGGAGCTTGCAGGACTGGGAGTTGCTTTGGGTGACAGTGAAGGGTGAGTGAGTGTGTGACCTAGGACATACTGTACTCTACTGGAGACTGTATAGTTATACCAAATTCATAAAATGAACTGAAATTTTAAAATGTATTGAATTGTGTTAAAATGGCTTGGCACCTATAGCTCAGTGGCTAGGGCACCGGCCATGTATACTAGAGCTGGTGGGTTCGAATCCAGCCTAGCCCTGCCAAACAACAATGACAACTACAACCAAATAGCTGGGCATTGTGGTGGGTACCTTTGGTCCCACCTACTTGGGAGGGTGAGGTATAAGCCAAGAGTTTGTGGTTGCTGTGAGCTATGACACCATGGCACTCTACCCAGGGCAACAGCTTAAGACTCAGTCTCAAAAATAAATAAATAAATAAATAGTGTTAAAAATATAAAAAAAATTATTATACAGTGCACAACTACTTTATAAAATATAGTTTTTGTTTTTTTTTTTAAGCAACATCATGTTAAAAACTCTAATAAGGAAGGTAAGGATAATTTCTACTGAGTATATTTACACTTCAGGCATGATTGGTCAAATCTTGTTATGTTCGAATTTGGAGAGATTCCAATGATATCCCATTATACTAGGATTTCACTGCATAGCACAAGGAGGCCATTGGATCTTGCAAATATTTTCGTTTCACAAGCATTGTCATTTTAATAGTGTTTGCTGTAAGGGGACTGCAAACTGATTTACGATTCTCAACACCCTGCCAATGTTGCCTGTCTTGTTCTCCTCAGGCTGCCTCAGGAATGAGCTGGTAGTTTAGCCTTCCTTGTCCAAGTCAGATGGGAACCTGAATCCTTTTTCCCCCTTGAATTCTTCCAGCATCTGTGAGCAGTCTCTGGACCACTATCATTCCTACAGCTTCTTTTTCTCCTCTGAGGTTTATCTCCAGCAGGGCTAACTCTAAGGGGAGCCAGGGCTGCGTCACAGGCATGGATAATACGTCCAGCCTGTTTATTTCTGCGTTCTTCATATTACAAAGTTAAAATGTGTTCACTAATGAAAATTTAGGGGAAATTCCCCTTCCTGAAGCTGTTTACAAGCCTGAAATACATAAAAGTCCTGCTAACAATTCTAACTTTCAAGTGAAAACCCAAAACAGAGTAAGAAGAAAAATTCAAATAAATAATCTTGAATCCCACCTCTCCAAGAAAACTTAAGGTTTACTGTTAATAACCTTCTAGTTCTTTTCCTCCATATACTCAGACATTTTAAAAATAGTGATTATTTTTCATACTATTTCATAACTTTTTCTTCTCCAGATTGAGATAAACATATTCCAGGGTCATTAGACATTCTTCCAAAATACGTTTTTCATAGGTACATACTGTTCTATTACATAAATACATCATAATCTTGATGGTACAAAAATGAACTGAATTCTGCTATTCAAACGTAGCTTGTAAGCATTTAAGTATTAATTCAGTAATATTTGAGTAATACTTTATTTTGCTAAGACACCTCTCAGCAACTCATTTTAAATGCGTCCTAGAGTGATTATTTTTTATTCAGTGTAAGAATCATCTGGGAGACACCAGTTTTCTACTGGGGCCTATGGATACTCACAAGACGCCTGCCACTCTGAATCTTCCTTCCAGCTCTTATAAATCTGTTTGGTTCTCTCTTCATCGATTTGATTAATTTCTTCATCTTTCTTCTTTGTGGATTCTTTCTTCTGTTTGGGGAAAAAATAAAACAAAACAGAAACAAACTGGTGAGCAAATCCCACAGTTTTCTGCAAAGGAAAGAGGAGTACTAGGCACATCTGATTTCTATTTTTTTTTTTTTTTTTTGGCAGTTTTTGGCTGGGGCTAGGTTTGAACCCACCACCTCTGGTATATGGGGCCAGTGCCCTACTTCTCTGAGCTACAGGCGCCACCCAAGATTTCTATTTTACTCTATCTGGCCCTTCAGGGAGGCCACCTAGGGTCCTGGATTAAAGCACTGGGTGGAGTCAGACTGCCTGCAGCTGGCCCCTACCTACCTGTATAACTCTAGGGCTGATTACTGAACCTCAATTCCCCATAAGTCAAATGAGAAAATATATTTCATAAGGTTATAGTGAGGGGTGAATAATTTTCAAAAACTACCTAGCAGAGTTAAGAACTCAACAGAGCCTGTAATCTTATCATTCTGGATGGCTGAGGCAGGAGGATTGCTTAAACTCAGGAGTTCGAGACTGGCCTGACCAAGAGTGAGACTCTGCCTCTTTTAAAAAGTAGAAAAGAACTAGCTGGGTGTTGTGGCGGGCACCTGTAGTCACAGCTACTTGGGAGGCTGAGGCCAAGAGGATTGCTTGAGCCCAAGAGTTTGAGATTGCTGTGAGCTATGACACCACAGCACTCAACCCCAAGATGTCAGAATGAGATTCTGTCTCACCAAAAAAAAGAACTCAACACCACAAATGTTCCTTTCCTTCAGACGTGACACTTAGCTGCTTCAAATTTACTCCCCTGAAGTGGTGTCATGAGACCAGTGTAAACAGTACTTTACGGTATCTGCCAGTGTCCCCAGAATAAATGCTCATTCCCAGAACTGGAACTCTTAGCTGTACCTCTACTTGCCCTCAAGAGATGTGTCCAAAACAATGCAGTACTTAGATATCGTTTGAGGTGGTTCAGAAGGAATATTTTTGTTTAGAAAACTCAGAAAAATATTTTTTAAAGCATAGCATTCTTTGAGAAGAGAAAATGTAAAATAAGAAAAATAAGTATTCCTTTAAAAGGAGAATTCTTTAATAAAAACAATTTCTAGTAAGATATACATAAACGAAATTTACCATCTGAACCATTTCTAAGGGTACTGTTTTATGGCATGAAGAACATTCAAGAAAATTTGTTTATAACTAAAGAGACTTGAACAAACCAAATCTGAAAAGTACTTTGTTTATTTGGATAAAGCCTTCTGAGTGCTCACAGGAAAGTGAATGTACAGCTTGGTGAATTAATGAAAGCCTTAGTTAGCTAAGTAATAAAATAAGCTTAAAGGGCCAGCAAAGATTGACCAGGCTGCATTCTCCATCACAAGGGACAGGGTTTTTCATTTGTGTTTTCCTATGAAAAGGTAAAAATTTCTCTGTTGTTAAATTATCTCAGCACAACTAAAATATGAAGCTTAATGTTTAAGAAACATTATAGCATTATATTATAAAGCTTGGTTGATTATCCTAGGAAGTCATAACTCACAGTTACTACAGAGATAATTCGTAATTTTCACTTCACCTTAAAAGTAACTAAACTTGAGTGCAATTACTATTTTCATTTTATTTTCTTTACGTCGTTTTCCTGCCTGGAGCTAAGCTCCCTTTGTGTGCTGATACTATAAAACCACAGACTGCTTTCGCTGTTGGAAATGACTATTAGAATGTGCCATTCCTTTGCTGAACCTGTTTACAAGGCTGAAATACATAAGGTGCTGCTAGCGATTTCTAACCTTAAAGAGAAAAAACAACTTGAAAGTGGCACTTTGTACATCTACCATGGCATGTGCGTTTAGTTTTAAATGATTAGAAAACATACAGTTAAAACTTCAAACGAGCTACGATTATTGCAGATTTTGTTGTCGAAGATAAACAAGATGTTAAAAAAAAGTGAGTCTGCTTAGGGAAAAATATTGAGTAAATAATAATAGATGTTGCCTGATAAGATGATACTCCAATGCCTGAAAGTGCTATATTCATCAAACCTACTACTTTTAATCTGCGGTGTAATTAAGTAGGAACACAGTGGAAACTCAAAATGAATGAGTTTCACAGAGCAATAGCAGATGAGAGCTGGCTCTTACTGCTATATTGATTCCAGGCAGCTGGAAAACTTAAGAGACTTGTCCCAAGTTTCTCTAAGAATATGCACTTTTAGCAAAATCTTAAAAAGCTTATCTTTACTGCCTATAGTCGGAAAATCATTTCCTCTTAAGGGGGGCTTTGCTGGAAGACATGAGTCAAGGACTCAGGACCAGGCGGCAAGCTTGGGGGAGTCCAGGGGAAGGTTCTGGGGTGAAGGGGCAGAGGGCTGAGGCTAGACCCTTGTCCAGATGCCAAAGGCTTGAGGGGTGGAGACCCACGCCAGCAGTGCAAGGTGTCCACACATGCTTAGCTAACAGGAGCAGAAAAGGAGGCAAAGTGGGGCCCATACGGACAGCCTCTTGTCCCATCCTATGGCCAGAGGGCCTTCTCACAAGCAGACCCTCACAAGTGCCCCCAAAGTCAGAAGCCTCTTATCACCTGAACTCTACAGAGAAGCTTGGCAAGTGATCTGCTAGTCCATTCTCCGGAGTTATCTGCTGATTGTTAACTATGCCAAGTGAGTTCTGGCCATTGTCTCTGCTGTCCCCTCTGCCTGGAACATCCACACTCCAGACCTCCACATCGTTCTTTCTCTCCCTCCCTCCCCTCCACTTCTTTGCTCCAAAATCACTTGCTCTGACCATCTGCCTAAAATACCCATTCCCAGTGGAGGTAATGACTGAAATAGACAACTAGAATGTCACTTCAGGGATCTGAGTGTTCCTTTTACTGAAAGTTTACTACCTTGTCCGCTCATGGGACTATTACAGATTAAAAATTAAAAAAAATAAAAAACAAATAAAACAGAATACCCGTCCCCATCTCCCTTCACCCCTCCTCCTCCGTCACTTTCCTCCACAGCACATGTGATCAGCTGACTTCACAGATGTATGAAGAGACAGATCAGCTGTCTCTCCCATGCAGAACAGAGGCCTCCAGTGGGAAGAAATTTCATCATCTTATTTTTCCATAAAATGTGTGTCCATTCCTCATAACAGTCCCTCACACACAAAGGCAATATCCAGGATGTGTTGGGTGAATAAATACATAGGTATTTTGTCTTTCTCAACCGTCATCATTTAAGATGACATAAAGTATCCTGAGTATTATTGGACGTTCCCCTGAGATCCTCTGTTTTAGGAAAAGGTATGGGTTACGGCAGTGGTATGCATACAGGGACCGCAGTTCCACAATGTCATCATGATTTCTTGAACTCTCAGTGGTGCAAACTTCTCATGTGCGTGCCTGCAGAGGAGTCAGGGCAGGGCTCACACCCTCCACAGAAACGCAATCCTCTACTGGCCTCCCCCAGCCAATCTCAGGCTGTGGCCATTTGGAATATCCCCTTCACAAGCATGCATCTTCCCTGCTCTTTCGGATGCTCTGCAGGTCAAATCCTACTGCAGCTTCCAAATGCCACTCTAGGTCTCCTTTATTCTGCACAATTTAGGGGACACTAGCAAGCTGGCATGAAGGAAGATGTGGGCTCAGCCTGTAGGAGAATGCCACGCCTGGACAGACGAGAGAGAGTTCCAGTGGACACAGAGGCATGAGAGGTTGCCCATTGTCAAGGGACAGGTTCACAGAAGCAGTAACATAATCCAAGTTCACCCTCTCTGCCAAGTTCAGCAGCATTTATCACTCTCTGAAATCAGGCTTCCCTCGGTGTCTGTGGCAGCCCCGGAGACTGCCTCTTTGGGAGGAGCTCGGCAGATAGCTTTGCATCTATTCTTTGCACGTCATTCAAGACTTTCCCAACTCTGGAGAAATGGACAGAGATGTTTGCAGGTTTTAAGACAGATTTCACATTTCACGTCCTGTGGCTCAGCTTCCTTTCTGCATGAGACTCACTAACTAATCGGGGAAACATTTGTGGGAATGGCTAAGCCCTAGCCCCCTCGAGACAGAACGGAAATCGTTTTTACCTGGTGAAGTCCATATGCCTTCAAACGATTGATAGAATCGGCCAACATTTGTTGAATATTTCTTGGAGAACTGGAGGGTGACTAAAAATTAAATGAAACACATTTTATAGCATGTGGAGCTGCAGCACAATCTCAAACGATAACCTGTCTCTACTTCCCTTATTTCAACCTTCCCCAAAGCTGCCCCCACCCCCACAGCTGGGTTCACACAAGTGTCTCAAGAGCAGCTGAGTTCCTGCGCCAGTCCTGACTATGGCAGCAGGCACACAGGCGTCCAGCACCCCACTCAGTGGGGCTTAGAATGAATTATCACCCTGCAGCCAGGAGCTGGGGGGTTGGTGTGTCTTGCTCCCAGTTGGCCCTGGGGGCCCTGGGATCATTTCTAGACACCAAATTGCGCCTAATTAAAATTCTGTCTTTGATTGAGCTCAGCATTCCCTCTTTAAACCCAGACCAGAGAAATGCCTTGTCATAGGGCCTTGCTGGAGACACACCTAGCATAGCAGCATGGTGCCTGGGAGGCCTTCCTGCTTTCCCTCACTGGGCCATGGTGCCTGGGAGGCCTTCCTGCTTTCCCTCACTGGGCCATACTCCTCCCCTCGCCCGCTCTTCTTACCCAGCCTCCAGGTTTCTGTAGTGCTAGATGGATTTCCCCTGCTAGGGTTCCCAGAGCCATAGCCTAGATCCCTGGTGCCAAGCGCTCTGGCACTGTAACTGAGCTGGCAAATCCAACTGGCTACGTCTTAAGACACAGGCCTCCATCTTGTTCCTGGCCTGAGTGCAGAATCTGAGCCTTGGGAAAGCCGCATACCCTAAATAGTCAAATAGAGCCACCCCCCTCCAAACATTACCATCATTTACCATATTTTGCCATGTATAAGGTACATTTTTTTGCCCAAATTTTTGAGGGAAAATTAAGCATGTGCATTATACATGTGTCATACTATGATGTTTCCAAACAGGTGCTGTACAGAGGGAAATTGGGAAATGGCAGCCAAATGCACCTTTATTTACAAAATGTTGATTGTATAGCTTTACAAAGAGGTGACCAACATGCAGAGAGTATTTTGTAAATAAAACATATAGGTAAATATAAACAAGTAAAAATTTGAATTAAGACATTTAAACAGATGGGTGCAGTGGCTCATGCCTGTAATCCCAGCACTGTGGAAGGTTGAGGCAGGAAGATTGCTTGAGGTCAGAAGTTCGAGGCTTGTCTGAGTGAAAAAAAAATGGAAAAAACCAGCCAGGCACTGCAGCGAGCACCTGTAATCCCAGCAGTTTTGGAGGCTGAGGCAGCGGGATGTCCACAGCCCAAGTCTGAGGTTGCAGTGAGCTATGACACCACTGCACTCTGCTCAGGGCATAGGGTAGAACTCTGTCTCGACAAAAAAAAAAAAAAAAAAAAGACATTTAAATAAAAGATTTTTTCCCGAAAGTTTGGGGGGAAAAAAACATGGGTGTGTATTATACATGGGAGTACATTATATAGGGCAAAATACAGTATGTGCCTTGTGCCAGAGGACTCAATTCTGAATTTTGCCATAGATCAGAAATCGTCAGCAAATTTTTAGGAAAAGGCCAGTACCAATATTCAGTGAGTAGCATGAAGGATACTATAAAGTGGTTATTATGCCCTGTAATAAGACAGTGTATCAGAGACTGCTGGCTTTCCCAGTCACGCCCTTTATCCCCAGTGGCTGGTATGTGAGTGACCCAGCTATATTCCATTTCCCAGCTGCCCTGGCAGTTATCTCAATATAATGCAGGTGATGGCTGGCACTTTCCACTTCCACCCAGGCTTTGAAAACCTCCTTTACACATTCCTCCAGGACACTTCCTTAGGGCTGGAATCAAGACAGTGGCTGTGCTTCTATTAGAGACAGCAGCTTTGTCATCATTCTGAAGTGTTAAAATAACATGAAGAATTGAACACTTGCACTAAGAAGGTTCATACAGATACACTTACATGTTCTACAAATCCCTGAAATACACCAAATATAATATTAGGCTGAAAATATTGGATAGTGGTATCCAAGAGTTTTCCTTTATTAGAAGACAGCCACATTAATGGGTTCGAAAGTGATGATTTATGATGGTGACACCAGAGGGAGACGAATACTGCCGCTCAGCCTATCCCAGAGGAAGGGTGAGGAGGCTTCTCTGAGAGGGCGCCATGCCCTCCATAAAGCTTCCATAGGATACTGTATTCCAGGGAATCCATAGGTCACTATGAAAGTTTTGAGACAGACTGTGGAACAGTCCACTATTTCATTTCTAAGAAACACAGTCGACAGCGTCCTTTCTGATTCACCTGTGCGAGTTTCAACTTTCTGGGCTTATTGGTGTTGCTGGGAGGGCTTCATTTGTTTCCATTAGCATAGATTTTATGTTTCTTGGTTTTCGTGTATCTCAAAATTTTCATGACCTTCTTATACTCATTAGTTATCCTTATACCAATAAAGGGAAGAAAACCACCCTACCTATGTATTTTTTGCACGTAAAGCGCTTTGACATCCAATGTATCATTTAGACCTTCACATCCAGGGGCAGGGTATTATCCCCTCACCAAGGAGATTTGGTGACCTGGTACCAGGTAGGACAGCAGAGACTCAGACCTGTGTCATCTGTGTGTCTAGAGCTTGTTCTTGAGCAGGCTGTCCCCGAGGGGGCCCCAGAACTCTCCTGAGCATGTTGGCCACCGCAGCCATCATCCGTCTGCTGCATCACAGAGATTCCTGCAGCTGCTCAAACTCTCTGGGGCAGGATTAAAGCAACCTTATTGGCTGTAAAATTTCTCTATTTAAAAATGAAAACTTCCATGAATATTTATGCAAAAAATTCCCCCCCATTAAAGAGAAAAACCGAAAGCTAATAACATCAGAAACCAGTAGATGCACTGCAGACAGAGTCAAGCTGACTCTCTCTCATCAGTGAAGATCTCAATTAGATCTGGAAGGGGCACCCATCAGGATTGGCCAGAAGAGAGTATTAAAAAATTACTACAGTTAAACTTAGAATTACAGCAATTCAAATCTACATTAGCAATTGGGTTACAAAAAGATGCTGCTGACAACATGAATGTGACATGGTTACAAATTATACTCCCCTCTCAGGAGATGTGGCATACGAGGATTATTCTAATTATGTTCATTTTTAATGCTGGTCTGAAAACCAGTTCATTCTGGCTTCTAATTTAATATTCACTTTGTTTAAAAGTAGGGGTTATGCAGTCAAAAGATTATGAGTGTCCTTAATTCCAAATAAACCAGATCGTACCAATAAACAAAACAGGTTTGGCATTCCATTTTTATGGAAAAGATGAAAATGATGAATTAACAGGACAGAATCAAGGGTTTATTTTTGCAAAGAAACGGTATAGTTAAATATTTACTCATCCTGTTCTCTTACGCTTTTTAAATCCATGGCATTCCTGAATAGAAGGATGGTCAGATTAATTACCTCAATGAAAGCAAAGAGTGTAGCAGCTTAATTTCCACCCTCTGCAGCCTCAGCAGACAGGCCTGTGACTGTCACTTGGTAGGCTTCATAAATATTTGATGAATGAATTAACACACAATAAATTCATAAAACACTATCTCAGTCACTAAAAGGTATTCAGTTTATTTTTAATACAAATCAAGATAGACTATTTAAATTTAAACTCTTGGAAAAGCACTGGTCTAAAACTCACCCATTACTAACTAGATCACTGAAATAATCAGATCATCCTCTTTCCAGGCATTTTAAATAAGTAAAGGAATTTCTCGATGGCTATAATCTTAAGCTTTTGAGCATTCTGGGATCTAGCTTTATGCTTCTAAAATAATGAGATAGGCAGAATAACAGAGCTCTGTTTGATAAAGTTATAAAGAATAATAATGTAGAGAGAGTACAGATATTTTCCTAAGGCCTACTATACTATCTTATACTATACACAAACAAGATAAAAAGCAGGAAAATAAATTTTAGTGCTTAAAAATATGGGACACGCTGCCTAGAAATTGATTTTACTGAAACATGAATTAGGAAAATGGAGACCCTAGGAAATCTATTCCCCATTTTTCTAATACAGTTCCTAACAAAATCTAGGCACACAGACTGAGTCCTTGGTATGTGATTTTATGGAACATCTTTAAATAAACATTGTCTTTAGTGTCTGAGTTAATTTTGAGCATATTGGAACATCAAACTGTCATATTAAATGATCATGAGTTCACTTATATCACTCCTTTTCTCTACAAACTCCCCCCTCAAGCAATGTGAAAAACAGACTAGGCAGTAACATTCCCAGAAATACAATAATGCACAGCTGGTAGGGCTGCTGGGAAAAGTATTTCAGACATGAAAGAGTTTAAAAGGCCAGTCTATATTCTCACCCAGAGAGATAGCTGATATAGGATCCATAAAAAAGTAAAAGAAGGATGGGCACAGTGGCTGACACCTGTAATCCCAGCACTTCGGGATGCCAAGGCAGGAGGATCACTTAAGGCCAGGAGTTTGAGACTAGCCTCGACAACACAGCAAGACTCCATCTCTACAAAACCTGAAAGAATTAGCCAGGCCAGGTGGTGCATACCTGTAGTCCCACCTGCTCAGGAGGCTGAGATGGGAGGATCACCTGAGCCCCAGAGTTCAAGGTTACAGTGAGCTATGATTGTGCCACTGTGCTACAGCTGGCAGGACAAAGTGAAACACTGACTTGAAAAAGAAAAGCCAGGGTGGTGCCTGTAGCTCAAGAGGGGTAGGGCACCGGCCCCATATGCCAGAGGTGGCAGGTTCAAACCCAGCCCCAGCCAAAAACTGAAAAAAAAAAAAAAAAAAAAAAAAAAAAAAGAAAGAAAGAAAGAAAGAAAAGAAAAGAAAAGAAAAAGACAAGCCAGAGAAACAAAGGAATTATTAAACATAAAGTGTGAAACAAACTAATAAAGAATGGTTAAGAGAATAGTCAAAGCATCTTAAAAACATGATAGATTGAGGAAGCTTTGATGCAATGGAACTTAGACATCTAAGAACAGTAATAGAAAAACAATAGAAATAATATATATAACACATTTCAAGACACTTTCATGTATGCAATG